CGAAAGATTCGTTTGTTTGGTATTAACGTATAAGCGCCAAAGTCAACTCAGATTTATCTCTCGGTCGACCTCCAAAGAGAAATAGCAAATTTCAAGTGAAATCTTTAAACGTAATTCCAAATATAAGCCCCCTGTTTGTATTTTTTAACAATGAGGTTGATTGAATAATTTAATAAATTTATTTAAAAAATAATTTAGGCTAAATTCTTTGATTAAGAAAAAGGATAAATATTCTAAATTTGGTCAATTCTTTCAATCAATCGGCGCACATCTGTTGCTTTTAATAGAGCCCGACTGGTTTTAAATAACTGGTTTTAATCTCAAGTAACTTCGAATACATAGGAATTGTAGTATTAAATTCAGAGCTGCAATTTCGAGATGAAAATGTCATAGCGCGCTAGGACGTACTTCCGCCTCACGAATTTCCAAATTTTGTTTTATGAGAGAAAACGTGCGTGGACTAAGTAAGTTGAAGTGTGTAATAGTGAGAGCACCACATTCTAACATAAGTGTATTAATTAATCTTCCACTAATCCCGCTAAGTATACATCACTTCGAAACTTCCTGACAATCCGGGGCCGGGTTTATGTTTACTGAAAGATTACGCACAGTAGGATGGTAATTGCTTTAATACCGTTTTACATGGCAAAGCCAGCCTCACACTGCGACTAACGCGATATGGCAGTAGAATGAGGCAATAAATTAGATACGACAGGGTTCGTCTAGAACGCGAATATCATTCATTACAGAGACTATATAGATGTACTTCTAAGTGATAAATTATAGTAACGCCAAGTGTAGATCGGTATTTTATCAGTATATAAGCCGCATAATATATAATCAGTTATTATAACTCGAGTGAACGCAGAAACAAGGTTTCCACCTTTACGAAAATAATATTTTCGCGGTCCTCCATCGTTCATATTGCAGCGCTAGTTAAGAATTTAATATTCGTAAGGATTAATAATTGACAAATCGTGGAGATATTATGAAAAATTTTAGAAGAAATAAGATTATATCTAATGTGAGCTACAAAATTTTATTGTAATATCGATGGAAAACAATGATCGAAGTTTATTATTAGATTGACTCTTATTTTTGACTTACCGTTTCGGCGCGCAATTTTTTATTCTCCGAAAATTCCAAATGATCCACTAAACAGGGACTGTCATCATGAACTTCACTCGAGGACGTCCACAGCTGGAATTCGGGAAGCAAACCGAGAGGAAGCCGTTTCGTGCCGCGTTTATGTCACTGCAGGCTGTGCAACCGGTTGGATGCAAATGCGGATGTTAATTCGTGCTATTCGGCACGGAAGAACATTGGCTCATATTGACACGATCCTTGCTTCGAATGTTGCATTCAACCAATTTACATTGGAGTTTCTTACATCCGCGGCAAAATTAACATTTTGATGAACGTGAAATGTTGGAAAAAGATGTTGCTAAGTTTTATTTCACATTTTACTCTCGAAGCGCGAAAAGATATATCGGAAAAAGATCAGGCTACGGAAATGTTCAGTTATTTAGATTTTTCTATATAAAATTTCTATATAAGCGGACAGCGCGGAAGAACGAATAAATATTTCGGAGATAATACATGCATGATGGCGCGGGATATTCTGACATGAGTCTTCGGCCGGCGTGAAATGGAAACGTCAGTCAGTTGTCAAAGGCGAAATCCTTCTTGCCGCGAGGCTCTTACCGAAATAATATCGCATTGATTAGATCAGCGGGATTGACACGTAATCGTTCGCGTAAAGTGCAGTCCATATTTTCAGCGAATAAATCGAATTTCACAAATGTGTGATAATATCTTCAGGGCGTTTAGTAAACAAAAATGGATTTTCGAAAACCGATTGCCTTTTTATACAGATTTGGATGTCAAAGCGTTTATCGTTTCAATTTATTTTATACAACTCAATTATTCTCTCTTGCAAATAATATTGTTGTTATAAACAATTTAAACCCATCAAGGATCAATAAAGAGACAAAAAAATGCAATAGATGCCGACTTTGTTCTCATCGTTATTCGATAACTTTGGAAAATTGAAACTATATCTTCTCTTAATAAAACCGATATGTCGATATATCGAATTGTAATTTTCAAATTGTAAACATCTTCGTATTGATTACAGAATTCGGATAAAATTTGGTGAATAACTTTTCATGGGAAACTTTGTGTACAAACGCGAAGTATTTAAACGCAACTTCAAAAAAAAAAAAGGCAGATCACAGAACGAAACACGCACGCGCTAAAGTTTTCTTCGGAGCGTTAACTTTGTATCTGTCGGAAAATCCATTGTGCGGTTTTGAATTAAAACTTTTTAACCGCGATGCTTTTCGGACGGTTGAAAACCGCTCTCCGAGGAGGTACGTTGCGATTCAAATCAGGTAGGCGAGCGAGATCCGGGATCGTCCGTCGGCTTAGTAATACCGGGCGGTCGCCAAGCATGCCGGAAGTTCCGTTCGACGGTGAGAGAAGAATATCCGTCGCGCGCGATCGAAAACGCTATTCTCTCGCGCGCGCGAAGCGGCCTCGCCATCGTTATTGTCTCGATATTCATTGTCACCGTATTGTCGAGCGACGATAAATTAGAGACGTCCGACAACGATCGCGGTGATCGCATAAAGAATGCTGAATGTATGATGCGTGGAACGTGACGCGCGGACGGAAAAATAAGAAAGCATCTACGGCCGTTCAGTGATACTACGGTGATTTATAACGTTAACAGTCCGCCCGGAAGTTCCGCAGCGTCCGAGAAGATTCATCGCGTGCGCCAGCGAACGGTACCTAGATTATTATTGGATTTATGAGACAAAGGATTAAAATAGAGATAACTGAAATTGAACACGAAAATTATTAATGTGACACATAATATCGCAATTCTATAAATTTTTAGAATTTAAAAAAACTTGAGGTCAGCGTGAAAAATAACATTTTCCACCTGATTGGACTTTAGCACACTCAAAAAAATATTTTGCTGATGTAGTTAGATTTCCAGATATCGCAACAAGAATGTATCGCTGTTTTTCGTATTTGTGAAAACATTGTTTGTCACATATAGAATTTATAGCAGTAATGTTCTAGCAATAGCTTCTGAAAAATTTAGGTACCATTGCTAAATGTTATTCATTGCATGATCTAACACGTGATTAATCTTATATAGATAGGCGCTTTAGAGAAACTTTCTTTTTAAAGTTCACAAAAAATACAGATATATATTCTGTTTCTGTCATCTAAACTGATTAAGTAATTACATATGTAATATCACAACAGTTGCTAATCATTTATCTGTTTTAGTTAATTTTTTACACCTAGAAAATTTTAGCTATTATTGCAAGATCATTTTTTTGAGTGATAAAAGTATAAAAATTTCTATACAAAAAAAAAAGTACGAATACCGCCGGACATATGTTCAATATTTCAACAAATTATTGCAATATATTATAATTTACAATATATTATCAGTGTAAAAGTTCCATCTATATTTGGATCTTCAATAAATAATGTATCAATATTCTAAAATATTATAAGCATATACTAGATTGTATTATTTAATCATTTTAAGCTTATTTAAAAATTTTTCGATAACGAATTTAATGATATCTTTAAAATAACTCTAGCACGTAACAGATTATATCATTTTAATGTTATCCCTATTTAAAAATTCCTCAACTATAAAATTAATGTTGTATCTAAGGGATTACAAGTAAAAAATTATATCATTTTATTATTTTAACGTTACGCTTATTTAAAAATTTCACGAATTTTTTACGAATTTAATGTTATGATTTACGTTATAAATGAGCTTTTGGCACATAGATTTGCACGTGGAAATAACGCATATTTGGAGATTTATGTAATTATTCAAACATAATTTGAGATTGATTATATATTCACACAGATAAATAAAGCATGTGATAATAATTATAACATTTATAATATATATACATAAAAAATATATATGAAACCCATGTTTTATTTAATTACGTTACACAACTATTTATTACGCTTCCTAAAATTGAAGAACAAAAAATACGTTTAATTATCAAGTTAAATAAGCAGAATTACAATTTGTTCTTACTTGACAAGAGTGATCGGAATTAATTAAACTTTCCGGCCGATTTTTGCGGTCAATGTATTTTATTATAAAAATTTATATTTGTTACCTACTTTCTTATTTATCTAAATATTTTCTATGTTACAAAAATAGAAAAATGCTTTTTACTCACAAACAATAAAAAGACAATAAATTATAGACAAATTTCAAGTATTAAATAATTGTCTATTTTAATATATATACTAGTGTTTAAATCTAAGACCTTGAAAACTGTAGCTATGAAGTAATTAACAACAGAATAAAATATAAAAATCACACCAATAATTTGGAGTATATTGCACTACAAAACAAAAGAAATGACGATAATGGCGATGGTGGCGTATTTAAAATATAAGAGAGATGAAAAAACAGGCATGTAAGGATTTATATTTCTGCAATGTATCAAGTGCCATATTATATTTTATATATTTTACATATCAATAAATTAGAAAAATGCTCATATTTTATCGATGCAGTCTGTAATATAGATCATAATATTAATTATATTGACTATAATCTCCATTAATTTTTTGTACATTATTTCCCAAAACATTATTTATCTGCGTAACGAACGAAATGTAATGCTTCTCTCTGCTCTTTTACTCTCCACCATATCATTGTTCTCGCTCTCTCTCGCTCTCTCTCGCTCCTCTCCCTCCCACTCTCTTTCTATCACACGCGAAAGCGTTCTTACTCTCTCAAAATCGTTTACAATACATATTTTGCATCGGATCCTACCGCTTGTCTTGATAACTAGTTAGGTAGGTAGGTTTGAAGGCTGTCAGTATTTACATACAAACAGAAAAACTGTACGTCTCTTTCCTCGATCTCCTCTATTAGACACTTTTCAACGAAATAATGCTCGCATCATGTTCAGTTAAATACGTTCTATCATACAGATCAGATCACAATGAGTTTTGAAGAGCGAATTCAAAAAAAGCACCCCTGGGTAGAGAAATGTTTTACTAAAACGGTCAATTTTCGAGTACAGTGTCTAGAACCATCATGCAAAGAGATTTTAAAATACGTGAACTTTACAAAATATTCTGAATTTAAGAAGCACATATTTGAGGCGCATTTAGATTGTTATCATCATGAAGAGAATGAGAAGGATAACATGGAGTGGAAATATTTTAGACTAACAACAAAAAAAGACAAAGCATGTATTATATGTGATATTTGCCCAAAGAATTTTTCACAAAATGAAAATTTATCGGAACACGTAAAAAAGCATTCAAAACTAGAACGAGATTTAGGACGTCAAAATGAAACTTGGGGTTGGAAATATTTGAGAAAAAGTAGAGATTTTTCTGCTACATGTAAGCTTTGTAAAAATGATACAAAAAGAGAATTTATTGTAGACATTAGTAAAATGAAACAGCACATCTTAAAAGAACATGAAGAAAAGAGCCACTTAATAGAGGAACGATATAAACAAACTTGGGAATTTCAAATTGAAAACAACTATTGGTTGAATAAATGTTATAGAAAGCCTGTGCATTTTCTAACAGAATGTAAATTTTGCAACGAAGAACTTGCGTATGTCCAGACTAGATCCATTCAGAATCATATGAAGAATAAACATGAAGTAATTCACGACGCTGAAGACACTAAAATGAAGGCACGTAGCGTAACCTGGCAATATTTAAGGTTTACGAAACCAGATTCAACAGATGAAGTACAATGTATGAGATGTGATAAAACGATGCCACGTGACGAAGCAGAAAATCATGTAGAAAAATATTTTACAGGCGGTCTAGAACCAGGTAAATATAAAAATTGGACTTTCAAATACGCAAGACAAAACACAGATAATGTGACATGTACGATTTGTGGAGAAAATGTAACCCTGACGGCGAAAATTTATGAATTAAAACTTCATGTAAGTAATGTACATGAAAAAATATGGGATGCAATAAAACAAGAAGACTTATTGTGGAGTCGTGAAATTACATGGAACACACATTACATTGTATACACATGGTGGAAAAAATGTTATATAAATGCTGAAAATTTTCGAGCACAATGTAAATTTTGCGAACACAAAATACCATATATCACACATACACAATTTTTGGAACACATGAAGAACAAGCATAGTGCTCTTCACTCGCTTGAAGAAGAAAAAAATACACCTGATATCTTCGACGAATTTCAGTGGAATTATATAAGGTACATAAATGATTTAAAATTAGATAAAACAAATCTAGAATGCATCATATGTCAAAAAAAACTACCTCACATACATGATTTTTCACATGAACTGAAATTTGTTTCTCATTGGGCACTTAAATACGTGAAACAGAATGTAAAAGTTGCAAGTTGTATTTTATGTAAAAATAAAGTAAACTTTGAATGGACCCCGGAAAATTTAGAAAACCACATAACATCTACACATCCAGAGGAACGGGAAAAAATACGTCAAATACATTTGACACAAATGACAGTACACGACCAAGCTAAACCGTCGACAAGCTACGCAAGTTGAAAGAAAAACGATCGTAAGTTTTAATCATATTTTATTAATTATGATTGATTAGTAATATTTGTCATAAAACTTTATTCTTGTAGTTGTGTACTCAATCAAACTATGATAAAAACAACAAAAATCAAATAATTAATATTTGCTTTAATATATTACAAATGTTTATACAGATTTATCTACATTGGACAATGGAAATGATGGTAGCGACGTTTTTAAGTAGCATCTCATGACCAGCAATAACGACAGTCTTGACTTGGACCTGAGTGATTTGAACTACATGAAGACATTAACGTATAATTTGATTTATTTGTCGCATATCGGTTTTGTGTTTATAAATGTATAACATTGGTAAATTTAAATACATATATATTTATAAATTTATAATTTAACAGAATTGTTTAAAATTATATATTATGTATATAATTATAGTCTTATTATATATTATATGTTATTATATATTATATTATATTATATATTATAATATAATTATATATTATATATTATATTATATGTATATAATTATAGTCTAATTATATAAAATATAGTTATTACTTTAAAACATAATATTCTTTAAATAATGCTTTAAAATCAAATACTGTGTTACTACATTTATAAAAACTAAACCGAGTTCATGAATACAACAAATTTTATCTCTAATGACGAATCTTCGAGTGACGTACTCAGTACATACATAAAATGACAAACAAATAATTAGTACTTGTTCGAAATATATGTTAGAAATGTTTATGTAAATTTTATCGAATCGCATTCTGCAGCTTAAAACAGATATGTCTACGTCTCTTACTCAGTATTTGAAGAAAGAAACTATTGGTTATATATTTTGCAATTAAACATAACAATATAACTTTTTTGTACAGTATTATCGTGAAAAAAGTAAACGTTAGAACATTTCGCAAATCTGTAACAACTGTCTTAAGAAAGAACTGGAGGATTATATATGTCGCAGCTGGACATAGATGTATTGTTTTCTTGTGCACAAGAAGACACTATTTCTCAAATCCATGTACGAAATGTATATTCTTTTAGTTCTTTTTTACAATGCTTGTGTTAATATCTTTAGAAAAGTTCGCACGTCTACATTTTATATGACCTTATGAAATAATTTTGAATAATCCTGTAAAAAGTGAAAGTTCGAATATGCGCAAGAAACAAACATAATGTTCATATTATTAAAGATCATAACTAAAGAGAGATTGTGACAATTTTGTACAAAATAACCGAATATTCGAACAAATGTATGTTTTGTGACAATAAATATCGTCACGTTAAATTTTTTAATATTTGTAAACATGTAGGAAAAAGCATAAAAAACATCACTCAAAAAAATATTTCGCTGATGTAGTTAGATTTCTAGATATCGCAACAAGAATGTATCGCTATTTTTCGTATCTGTGAAAACATTGTTTGTCACGTATAGAATTTATAGCAGTAATGTTCTAGCAATAGCTTCTGAAAAATTTAGGTACCATTGCTAAATGTTATTCATTGCATGATCTAACACGTGATTGATCTTATATAGATAGGCGCTTTAGAGAAACTTTCTTTTTAAAGTTCACAAACAATACAGATATATATTCTGTTTCTGTCATCTAAACTGATTAAGTAATTACGTATGCAATATCACAACAGTTGCTAATCATTTATCTGTTTTAGTTAATTTTTTACACCTAGAAAATTTTAGCTATTATTGCAAGATCATTTTTTTGAGTGCAGTTATTCCGCTTTACTTTTTTAATGGGACAAACTCGACACTTTATAAGTTCAGAAAAATTTGCACTTTTTGCATAATGCATAGCAAGTTGTGTCGCCGTTGTTTAACAACAATGAAAGTTAATTCCATATTGCGCGCGTTAAGTTACTCGTAACTTATACACGGTTCGGCAATGTTTTATATTAATGAATCATAAGAAAGATTTTTAAATGAATGCGAAGAGTTCTTGAAAAGTTCAAACGAGCTTTAGTATCTTCCAATATACTTTCAATATTTATAAATTCAAGGAAAATATCTTTCGTATCGCGCGATATGCAAAATAGAGCACGATAATTTGGTTAATGGAACGATCCAATGTATCACGCACACAGCGGAACCTATTAGAGGGCCATATCACTGGCTCCACGTACCGACGGTATCTCCAGCGGCGGATAATACAGCGAATTTGAAAACGCAGCCCGGCTAGATAGGAGAAATCAATTTATTTCGTCCGGCGAGAGAGCGCCGTAGGAAGAAAACATTCTTTTCGGAGCGCCGCGCCGCTGGAATACTACTCTCGCTATGTCTATGTGCGGGCTCTCGCGATGCGGCGGCGTTGCACACAATGCAACATCGTATTTAATTTCGCCGTCGTCGTCGTCGTCGTTCTCGTCGTCGTCTTCGGCATCCATCGCCGCTGAAATTGCGACGCGCTGTTTGCCGTGGGCCCAGCCGTCGACAGTTGTTGATTTATCGCGACCGAACAACCGAACCGTTAACGCCTGCCTCGACACGAAGCATCCCCCGTCGTCATTCTCTCCCTCTGTCCCTCTCTTTCTCACTCTCGATCGACCCCGCGGCGTCGTCACCATCGAATTCGCTGCGAAGTGGATTTATCGTTGTTACTGTAACATCGGATGCTTTTTACCCGCGGCACGAAGGGTTTCTAAATGAGGTTACGAGTGCCTCCGACAATGCCGGAATCGGGACTACGCGTCTACGCGTATGCTCGCGCGCAACCGCCCGTTAGGGAAATAATTTTTCGTTTGGGAGGCAACTTGGAAAATGATTGGTTCCGGTGAAATGACAGCGGATGGCGTGCCATGTTGAAAGGACGCTACGTTTTTAAACACTTGATTTTTGAAAAATTTTCAACGCAAAAGTCGTACAGTTTATGTATCGAGATACGCTGTAATATCTCTAAACTTTCAACGCTTCGGCTTCTTAATCTTGTTTATACGTGATGGCCTCTTTGATCGAGGAGTATAATAGGTGGCTTAATCAGTATATTAAACGGGGGTTCCGCATATAGGAGATATAATCTATTCGATGCGAGGGACCATAATGCCGCGCGGTCTATCTTGTCGCCCGAAATAGCCGCTGAGAAAATCTGTTCAGAGACCATTGTCGAGTTAACATGCCGCCGCAGTGTCAAACTATCAGAGCGGAACGCGCTACATGATGCAAACGTCGTGCCGAGCTCAATCAAGATTTAATGAAATTATATCCCGGGTCTCGGAGAAACGGCCGCATTTCGCCCACCGAATTATCTCGGCCGTTGCAAAATTAGTAATTACGAGTGACACTGGAAGGGCGACGTTTCGAGAATGTCCGTGGATCATTAGTGGATGTATGTGACATCCGGGTCGAAAGACGAGAACGAGTGAATTCGATGCTCGAGTCGGTTCTGAAAATCCCAGGAAGAGAGAAGAGCGGCTCACTCGCTTGCCGGTGACAAATGAAGCGTGGGAAACGCGAGTACGTCAACGGCGATCTTCAAGTCAGCCATTTATTACACCGAGCGGCGTAAGTTGCGATGAGAATAATGGCCGGCGGCGAGTGAAAGGCGAGATCTGCACAAAAGCGATCTATTCAAGTTCAAAAATTTTATCGCGGCACTTTTTTCACCCCTCGCGACGCCGTCTGCCGGCGGTTTCACGGCTTTAAGAGATAACGCCGGACGGCATCGCGGGGTTCTGCGCCGGTTATCGCACGGTCGCGCCGCCGATGGATCTCGCTGGAGAATACTTTTCGGCGAATTAAGCTTTATCGGCGAAAAGTATAAAATAACGGCGTAACGTTGCAAACAGAGCGGAACAATTCTACACGAAGCTCCGCTATCGCGTCGAGAAATTTGTTCTATTTTGTGTGACCGGCGTGGATCCGGTGATATGGCCGGCGGTCGGTGATACATAGCGCTTCCGTCGGGGCCATTTCGTTTCAGCACGCGTATCGCGTGCAATCGCTACTTTCGTCGTGCCGGACTGGTGTGTGTGCGCGCGCGCGTGTGTGTACGTGTGCGCGCACCGGCTTCCTGTACGTGTATACGTACATATCGCAAGTATATATACCTCCACGTGTGTCCGTACGTATATACATCATGGGCGAGTTTCAGGTTTCAGCAGCTGACACGTTCCTTCGACGCTCGCGATCCAGAGGCAATTACTTCGGAAGCATGGCCGACACGCGTGGTCCATTATATTCGACCCGATTTCGATGCGGAATTTTTATTTTGTCGTGCGCGCAAGATGCTCGCGAACAATACCGCGACCGATGCACACGGGGGAAGCTTTTATGAAAGATGTGGCCGTTTAATTCGAGGGAATTTTTATGGCGACCGACTCTTTCGCTCCGCTGTGCATCGCGTAATGCATTTCTGACAAGTGATCTCAAAATTTTTGCATACGAGCTCTGATTGTAACGTGGAATGAAAATATCCTTTCGACAAAAGTGTCGATATTTTAATGGCGTCTTAGCGACACAATATTTCATACACTTGGGAACGTCTGCTTGAATGGGGATATCGACTTTGAGAATATTATGGTAAACGAAAGTTATCGTAAAAATATGGAAGCGAGAAGAACGATGTCGCGCCACATAAAACCATCGCGGATGAAGGGCGCATTCTCTCGAATCTTCTTATTGCCATTCTAATAGCCAAATTATATCAGACCCGATAAGGTATTTTCATTTTGCCGGCCTCTCCGAGATTACTGTTGAAATATCGAATTTTTAAAGCTCCCCGATCGAGAGTAATAAGTGTCGCCGCGGCTCTCGATATCGGCGTCCTGACAAATCCATCGGAGTTCGGTCACCGGACCGACGACCCGCCACGAAAAGGCTCAAAAAACGAAGGGCACGAGTGCAATTTCTCGCGGCAGCAATTTCGCGCGAAACGGCCAATGCGCCGCCGGTTCGATTGGATTCTTTCGATCCGAAATCAAGTGGCCGGACTTCGTAATCGCTTCTCGGCGCGGCGCCGGAAGGCATTACTCCGTGTAGCCGACATGGGAAGGCGCCGAATCGCGCTTCCGGTCACCGCGCGTTGTCCGAAACATCCTCGTGTTTTCCCCCGACCCGTTTTCTCTCTCCCTTTCTCTCTCGTTGTAAACAGGGACGCGCGCAACTGGGATATGTGATAATAACAGAAAATTGACAATTCAAAGTTTCTGGGAAAACGCTCGAGCGGAACGCGTTGGCGTTTCTCTCGTTTCATTTCTAGTCGCCCGCGTTTCGTGGTTGTCTCTTCACAGAGATGGCAGAATCATATATAAAGATAACGCCACTGATCCGCCGCTGTCAACTGTGCGCTAGTCAAGCTGGAAAGTGCGTGCTCTGG